GTCAAACTGTACATATTACTCAACTGGATGACAAGGAGAGCCAGCCAGCTGAGTATTTATTAGTAACCGTTAGTGTATCCTTCTTCTGTGTTGAATGGTATTCCACAACATGGGTACACTGGTATGTTAGCCATCTCCAATTAATGAATATTTTCATTGTTTTCTGTGGTTTTGCAATCATAAGAAACCTTATGATGAACATCTTGCTTGCTAGTAAGTGGTGGAATATCAGCTGAAATATTCTTATTTCTCATTGAGTTCATAATGTATTTTCAAGGTCTTAGATCATTTTCCATCATTAAATAATAAAACATGTTTGAGACCCAGAGTTATCCTCTCAGCCTTGAACTGGTTAACAAGCAGTTTGGGGCTGTTGTTTTCTTAATTGGTCAGGGTGATTCCTGGCAACCTCATGCAAGCAAGCTGCTGCTGTTTGTTTTTTACCCACTGCCGTTTGGCTTGGAACATTTCTGCAGTCGTTCAATTCCTGCACATCTAAATGAGTGACTGTTTCTGGGTACAGGTTGTTTGGTGGTTTTTAAAACCTGGACATGGGCCTCTGTTTCTGGAGGACTCAGTTCTGTGTGCTTGTGTTCGTCCTTACAAGGGAGCCTTATGTGAGGAACCATTCATTACACCGCTCAAATGGGCCATCGGAGAGAAGCAATTTCACTCCAACCCGCTAGTTAATACTACAAGGCATACGCCTGAATTGAAGTCTGTGAGGGGAACATTAATCCTACTCATTTTGCATAGTTTAAATTCTGTCCTCCCATATCTCATCAGTACAAATCACCCAAAAATACCCCTCATCCTGTTCCTTGGTGGATCTCTCTTTACTCCTCATTTCTCTATCCAATGCCATGTGTTTTTGTTATATTCCTACCGCTCTAGGCAAAACATAGAGTAGGCCTATACGCCTGGATTTATCAGAAGGATGATGGAAAGGAAATATTGTAACTATCTTTGATTAATACATAGTAACTTTAAACTAAATGAATCAAAATTACTTGTACTTTGGAGTTCTATTGTTTTGGGTTCAAATTCCAGGCTTATTTGTTCATATCATAATAAGTAAATATTTACCATGAACCTAAGACCTTAAGCCAGATACTTAAACTGTTCGAGCCTCAGTTTTTGCATCTCTAAAATGGGTATAATATGTACCTCACACAAAGTGATGTGAGTATATGAGCTCGTAGTGAGTGCTCAACCAGTGGTAGCCATTACTTTATTGGCAAGACTTTGATTTGAAACACCACCAGGTGGTATACTTGTCTCTGTGTTGATTTAGGCAGATCTCCCCTGCCATTCTTCTAAGGCCCAGCAAGAGCTCTTTTTCTCTCAAAGAATGCTTCAGTTGGATTTCTCCTCCTTTCAGTACTGATGCAGGGAAATGAATCAAACATCTTAATAAGATCATTAACAAGACTCCTGGAAAGCAAGGCCTTCCTTAATGCTCTCAAACACTTCATTCCTGATTTATGAGACCGGGGCATGGCATTCTCATGACAGCCAAATCTGGTCATGGCCTTTGCTGCTTCAAAGCCTGTCCAGCCTAAACCTGTTAGCCAGGTTTATGAGATCTCTGATCATCTGGACTTGCTTCCATCTTCAGCCTCTTGCCATGTGTAGTCCACATTCCAGTCTGATTCACATTCTCTCAGTTGCTCACACCATATATTCTTATATTCTTATCACCAGGCCACTGCTGTTTTCTGTCTGGTACACAGTTTCTTCAACTTCTTGCCTTTTACTCATTCTTTGTGTGTCACTGTAGATGTCATTTTCTCTGAGTAATATGCTTTGACTTCTCCAAGGCTGGATACCGTGCGATTCTGTGCATTCCCATCACATTCAGTGCTTCATTATGTCCTGTGTTCTTCCTATCATGGCCGCAGCCAACTCATTGTCTGTATCCTTGAGCAAACAATGAGCTCTTTGAGCGTGGAAACTGTGCACCATCTCTTATCACAGACTGCCACACAGAAGGCACCCAATCCCTTCTTGAATATATGAATACATAGTGTTAAAGAACAAAAATTCAACTGAGTGAATTTGAAGATCTAATTGGCTTTATTAAGCAGCTCTTGAATGGGCAGCATCCCATCTAGCGAGTAGCATGGAGGGTATAAAATGGAGGGTTTTATGGGAAGGAGGGTGGAGCAAAGAAGTTATTAGGAAAAGAAAAGGATTGTTTCAGGCAAGGTCACTTTCCCTTAGGGGAAGAGAAAGAGGTCTTATCATGCAAATTACCTCATCTTCCTTTGAGGGTTAGAGAGAGCCCTGTAACAGATTACCTCAATGATGCTTATCAGAAAATTCCTGAGTGATGAAGACTACATTTCTGGGGAAGGTTGAAACTACAATTAGGTTAGGTATTAAGCCCTAGTTTAGTGACTTAGCCTAAGTGACACCATTTTGGGTCCGTGGTTTTCTTTTTAGGAATAGATTGGAGTGGGAAAAGGATATATATACTTTTAGTATAATAATCTGACCAATTTGTCCAAGCAGAAAATTTATAATGGGTAGTTGTAGGAAGTGAGATCAGGAAATAAGTTCGTTCCAGATTTTAGAGGCTCTAACACTTAAAAGTTAAGTTAAGAGTTTGATCTGGGGCACCTGGGTGGCTCAATCGGTTAAGCATCCGACTTCAGCTTAGGTCATGATCTCGCGTTTGTGGGTTTGAGCCCCGGGTCAGGCTCTGAGCTGCCAGCACAGAGCCTGGAGCCTGCTTTGGATTCTGTGTCTCCTTCTCTCTGCCCCTCCCTATCTCGTACTCTGTCTCTCTCTTTCTCTCTCAAAAATAAATGTTCAAATTTTTTTTTAAGAAACAGTTTTATCTTTATCCTGTGAGCAGTGAAGAGCTATTAAAAATTTTACCTCCAAGGGGTGCCTGGGTGGCTCATACAGTTGGGTGTCCGACTCTTGATCTCAGCTCAGGTCATGATCTCACTCACAATTCGTGGATTTGAGCCCCCCATCAGGCTCTGAGCTGACAGAGAATTCCTGCTTAGGATTCTCAGTCTCTCTCTGCCCCTCCCATTCTCTCTCTCTCTCTCAAAAAAAGTATTTTTTTATCTCCATGAAATGACATGATTATAATGTTTATTTAGAAATAATAATTTGTCATTCAAGTGCTTTATAGAGAAAATAAGAGGTTGCAGACGGGAGATTAGACTTGGAACTTCAACTTCTCACGTATAAGGAAAAAACACAGAAACAGTTGGTAACTGTGACCCTTAAAAAGCTTTGTAGGCTTCTTAATGGTGAGAACCAAGTCTTATTTCTTATTTCTATCCATTTCTTAGTCTTATACTTGTTTCTATCAATTTCAACTAATACAATGGCATGCATTTCACTGATGGTCAGTAATAGTCACTAAGTGAATGAATGAGGTATACAAAAAAGGACAGATGCATAGGTTTTGGCAAGGAAGACTTGCTAAGACTTAACTGGTTGCCTCTGGAAAGGTGTTAAGTAGTTAATAGTCCTCTTGCTAGAAATAGGGGAAATAGGAACAGGATCCAGTTTATGGAAAAGGTGAGTCCAGAAGTTCACACTTTTTGTGTATCTTTTTCCTAGAAGGGATGAACAAAAAGCAATTCATTCTCATAATACCCTTAAACCTAAGAAGTAATTCATAATATCCCTACTCTGTTTCTCACCTTTTTAGTGGCAGGAAGAAAGTTGCCAGAAGGTTGAGTGAGTCACCCACAGTCATAAAGCCAGGAGAGCCTGTCCAAAGAATGGAAGCCTAACCCCCTTCTGACATGGTTATCCATGGCTCAGCACATGAAGTCTCATACAAAGCAAATCCTGATTTGAATAAGAGCTTCATGACACTCTGGTTATATTACCTCCTCTTCAACGTTTCACGTAAGTTGAAGGAGATGAAATTCGAATTGCCTGTAGTCTAACTAAACAGCAAAAGTTGAAAGGAAATAAAAACCATGCTGCTTTTAGTAGAATCCTCTGGTTGGTTGTTTTCAGGGAATGCGCTCTTATGTAAAGTGAAATGTTGCAAAAATGGTTAAATTACAACTAAGGTAAGGGTGCAAGTGAAGCCTGGTGATATGTAGTCCAGGTGGGGGTTAAGTAAATGATAATCACCCTCCATGCAGGTTTAATCAGTGACCTTTTCCCCCAAGGCATAAAGATGTTGACTTTCACACATACTTGGCCAGGGGTCTGTGAATGTTGCCTGCCAGCTGTGAACCATATGCAGCCCACCCAGACTGCCTCCAGAACTCGTGTGCCTCACAAATGCCCCAGCTAGGTCACCTTCAAGTCAATGAGACTAGCTGTATAATACATGGGGTGGCCCATGGTTATTCATTCACATACAAATATTTATAGAGTGCCTATTTGTATGACACAGTGCTAAGTCGACTGGAGGTGGGAAAGGACCATAAATACCAACATGACTAAAGCATTCCCTGAGCCTGGAAGGAGTTTAAGATTTACTCAGGTAAAGTACATCACTTGAGAAGAAAAATTTTAATAAAAATTTTAATAAAACATTTTAAGAAGTGTAGGTATCCCAAAATACTGTTCCAGTATTCTGCAATAGGTCAGAAAATCAAGAGGTGATCTCAGTTTGTAGGACAGAGATAGAGCTTAGTTTTTGTTTGGAGGGAAGATCTACTGGAGGAGGAGAAAGTTGAGCTGGATCCTTTTGCTGTTTTTATTAAAACCTGGCCTGAGTCTAAGCTAAAACATGCCAAATGAGTCACACAGAGATAAAACAATTAAACAACAGACTGCTTGGCTTGCACAACCCAACATCCGGGCTTGTTGTTCTGATGTTGCATAGCCTTGGCCTACCATTGCACCTTTTACTGTTTTAAGACTTCGAATTTTTTGAATTTACTGTTTCAGGACTGGTATGAGCTTTTAGTTGTTAATTATGAAGGATTAGTCAAATCCCTGGTAATCAACCAGCAAATGGAAGCCATCTCACCCTAGAATTCTGGATTGTTGAGGCATATTGGGCAGGATCCCAGAGACCAACAGAACATGCTAGACCTGATGGCTGACTCAAGTCTAAGACTCTGAAATCAGATCGGAGGTCAAAGGCTGCTGCCGCATTTTCTGTGCAGAGCCTTGGTAGGGAGGAAACACGCTGAGATAGGATACAAAGAGTGTTCTCTGCTCAGATCCTCCTTCTATAAGTGGGGACAGACAATTTGAGGTATAGAGGGAAGAGATGTCTTACTACATGTCTAACATGTTGCAAGGATTCCAATAAAAATTTATTGACAGAAAGGGTCTTTGGGAATAATAGTTGACAAAGTTGGGGCCCAGGTGCATGTTTCCCAAACTGGAGTCCTGGAACTCCAGACAGGTATCTTGAGGACCCCCATGGAGATGTGAGGGAGAGCATTCCCAAGTGCCCTTCCTCCTCCTATAACTGTCTTTGATCCGAGTGGTTCTGCTTTTGTCTGTTTTATATAATGAGAGTTTACCATGGTTTTGTTTGAAAACAGTTTGAAAATTGCCAGAAAAATCCTGGAGGTGGAAAGAAGAAGAGCCTTTGGGACTATATGATACAATCTTAGCAGGATATTGTTACAGGATAAAGGGGAGTCAGGCCACTTAGTAGTGTCACGGAGCATGGTCATAGCCACAAGACTGACCCTAGGCCAGTAGAGAGAAGACCTGCAGAAGAAGGAGAAAGATGGCCAAAGAGATCTTACGAATCACTTCTCAAGGGCTTCCCTTTGGTCATTGACTATGAACCAACCTCCTGAATATAGCAGACAAGACCCTACTTCCTCCTCTTACTCTTCCCACTGTCTCTGTCTCTATATTCCAGCTACTCTTCCTCAAATCTTGCCTGAAGATCTTTGCAAAGGCCGTTCCCTCTGCCTGGGAAATGTCCTTCCTCCTTTTCTGGGTGAGTCCTTCTTTTGAGTTTCCATTGAAATGTCCCTTTCTGACATCCTATCTCCCTCAGCCTAGACCAGGATGGCTCCTTTGTTTCCTGTATTTCTAATTTAGTGGGCTTATCACAATTGCAATAATCTGTTCAAGGACTGCTCCTTTTCCCCCAGATAGATTGTGAGTTCTAATTTTTTTTTAATGTTTATTTATTTTTGAGAGAAAAGGTGTGCCAGAGGAGGAGGACACAGAGAGGGGAAGACAGAGAATCCAAAACAATCAGTGCAAAGCCTGACATGGGGCTTGAACCCAGGAACCATGAGTCATGACCTGAGCAGAAGTCAGATGCTCAACCAACTGAGCCACCCAGTGCCCTTGATAGGTTATGAGTTCTGATGAGAGAAGGAAGTTCTCCACTGTATTCTCTGCACCTAGCACAGTGTCAGGCACCTAAGAAGTGCTCAAAAAATTCTTCATAAATGTGTTTGGCAACTTTTAAAATGTCCCCAATTTTCCCCACCTGCTAGTATTCACAGCCTACGTTACCTGGAGTAACTTGCTTCTAACCAATAGAATTCAGCAACGTTGAGGGTATGTCATTTCCATTATTAGGTTACATAAGACTGCAACTTCCATCTTGCTGATCACCTTCTCACCTTATATGCTTTGATGAAGCAAGCTCACATGTTGGAAAAGCTCAAGGAATTGAATCCTGGCAACAACCACATGAGTCTGGGAGTGGATGCTTCACCCAGTCAACCTTCAGATGAGATCCCTGCCCTGGCCAACACCTTGATTACAGCCTTGTGAGAGACCCTGAAGCTGAGTACTTAGCTAAGCATGCCTCAACTCCTAACCCTCAGAAACTAAGAGATAATAAATGTGTGTAGTGTTAAGCCACTAAGTCTTGGGGATAATTTCTTACACAGCAATAGGTAGCTAATAAGACAAATAAGTGAATAAGTCAGTAAGTGAATGGATTTGAAGTGAAGTGAAGTGAATGAAACTGAAGACCTCACTAAAGGAAGGGGAAACTAAGACCTGGTGGAGGTGAGGGGGTAGTGTAGAGAGAGTGGACTGATATGCTCAAAGACAATTGTCCATGCTTCCTGTTTGATTTTGTTTCTCTCAACCATAGAATCTAAAGGAGGCGTTTTGGGGAAAACTCTTCCAAAGTTTTTAGAATCAGAAATTCAACAGGTGAGTGGACATTTTATATGCCCAGGCACTATCTGATATCATTCATAAGTATTTGTGTTTGTAGATGAATAGCAAAGATACATCCTCAGTGATACCAATTCAGATGCAGTTTATATCAAAACATACAGTCTAGCTTGGGAAGCCTTTATTTTAAGTAGCTGTATTTTAAATCTTGATCCAAGTGACCCACTCAGATCATCTTTGTCTCATGTGTAGTTGACACTGAACATGGAAACAGCATTAATAAGTTGGAATAGGTTAGTGGGCTTTGATTGAGTCTGCAATCCAGATGTAAACAATATAAAATCCTCAATAGAGCTATAAATACCAGCTTTATCAATAGCTCTCATAATTTACAATTTTCCAATGCATTTCAAAATGCTGACTCTCACCTTTTTCCTAGATTGGTTTCTTCACTTCAGAGTGATAAAAGAGTGCAAAAAATAATGATATACTTTGGAGTGCATTCGTGTTCCAACATCCAGTTTTAATGGAGGCCTACAAAGAAGTTCCTTTTCTGCCTTCTTAAATGTCATATTTTCCTGCCCAGTTACACATGGGAAATATAATTGATTATGGAATTTCCCTTGGATTAAGCTTGTTTCAATAGGAACTACTAATTACTTTATCACTGTGGCATTGTAATCTGCCCTAACATTTAAAGTTTATTTGCTCTCAAATAAAGGGCATTTGGTCTTCCTATTATTTATAATCATTTTCTTAATCTTCTCCTAGAAGCCAAATCCCATTACAGTTGCTCATTATAAAAAGCTCATGTTTGCTCTGTGGAAATGCATAAATGCATCTAATGGCACCATGTACCTTCAAGTATATCCAAAAGAAAGGGAGAAATTTGAAGAAATCTGAATGATAAAATCTTGAACTTAAAGATGAGCTGTGGAGTGCTTATCTGAGTTACAAACTTTTAAAAATTTATTTATGTTGAGAGAGAGAAAGAGAGAGTGTGAGCACATGCATGCACATGTGAGTGGTGGAAGGGCAGAGAGAGGGGGAGGGAGAGAATCCCAAGCAAGCTGATAGTGCAGAGCCTGACTCAGGGCTCCGTCTCATGAACCATGAGATCATAACCTGAGCCGAAATCAAAAGTCTGATCCTCCACCAACTGAGTCACTCAGGCATCCCCCTGAGTTACAAACTTAAAAAAAAAAAATCATTATTTACAGAGGGATGCATTTCACTATTCCTTAAAATGTCCAGCTTATGTAGAAGTTGTAAGACCAAGATTCTATTTTTAAACATTTTTGAAAGTCCAGTATTATATTTTGAAAGACTTATATTTTGAAAGTCCAGTGTTATATTAGTTTCAGGTGTGCAATAATAGTGATTCAGTAATTTTGTACATTATTCAGTGCTCATTACCATAAATATACTTTTAATCCCCATTACCTATTTCACCCATCCCTTCACTCACCTCCCCTCTAGAAACCATCATGTTGTTCTCTATAGTTCAGAGTCTTCTTCTTTTTTTTTAATATTTACTTATTTTGGAGAGAGAGAGAGAGAGTACATGAGCAGGGAAGGGGCAGAGAGAGAGGGAGACAGAGGATCTAAAGCAGGTTCTGTGCACAGAGTCCAACGTGGGGCTCAAATTCATGAACCGCAAGATTATGACCTGAACTGAAGTTGGATGCTTAATCAACTGAGCCACCCAGGTGACCCAAGAGTCTACATTTTGATTTATCTCTTTTTTCCTTTGTTCATTTGTTTCTGAAATTCCATGTATGAGTGAAATCATATAGAATTTGCCTTTTTCTGACTGACTTATTTCACTTAGCATTATACTTTTTTTGTTGCAAATAGCAAGATTTCGTTGTTTTTTTTTAATGGTTGACTAATATTCCAAGACCAAGATTCTTTTTTTTTAAGTTTATTTATTTATTTTGAGAGAAAGAGAGAGAGCGCACGTGCTTGAGTGTGCAAGTGGGGGTGTGGCAGAGAGAGAGAGAGAGAGAGAGAGAATCCCAAGCAGATTCCATGCTGTCAGCATGGAGCCTGACTTGGGCTATATCCCATGAAGCATGAGATTATGACCTGAGCCGAAATCAAGGGTTGGATGCTTAACCAACTGAGCCACCCAGGCACCCCACAAGACCAAGATTCTTAAAGCTGCAGTCTCAGGGGCCACTTCCAAGAGGTAATAGATGAGAAATGAGGATAAAGTAGCTGTGAAAGTGTGATGGGAGTGTACTGGGGCTGGAGAGTCACACGCTTTACACTCAAGTGGGCTGGGACAACAGGTTGTGACTTTCTCACAAGCCCTGGCCCACTGGGTCACCTTAGTCTGCTACAACAGTTCAAACAGTACTTGAGGAGAAAGGCTTGGTCTTGTCAGTGTCCTTCCCCTCTCCTGTGCTTCCATAAGATGGGATTGCGGCGAGGGGTGTATTACCTGAATTATCATGGGACTAGAACAGAGAGGTTTAGAATCCAAGAAGTGTCCCTGAATGCTCAGATCCCCACCATTGCCTACTGCCTTCCCTCCTGACTTTGCCTACAGCTAAATTGACTATAGGCATGCTTCAACATCTGGCTTCTTGGCCAGGGTGTAGGGGTAATTCCTGGATACTTTGGTTTGCCAGGCTCTTGTTAGTGAGCCCCTCTAAAACTGTCCTGTATCTAGTTCCTGGTCTAGGTGATTAGGGTCTGCTGTAGGGTCATTTTCCTCCGTCACAGTGGGCCATTCTCCAGTTAGCTACTTTCTTTCCTCTCACTTTGTGGGGCAGCTTCAGGAGCCCCTCCATACCATATGGGAACCAAGATGGTCATTATGCCACCAAGTTTACTTAGGAGTGGCCAACTCCTAGGCTTTGTGCAGGACAGGTTGCAAGGCAAACTCATTCCAGAGTCCAAGTCATAGATTGAAAAAACAAACAAACAAACAAACAAACAAACAAACAAACAAAATGCCCCTGTCCTTGGCATTACTCTCTACAACTCCCCAGACTTCCCCTAAAATGGAGAGATGGAGAACCATATAATTCACTTCCTGCCTCAAGTGACTCTATCTCCATTTTATTTTGCTTTTCTGAATACCTGAGATGTCCTTTATGTCATATCCTGCTCCTTGCCAACTCCAGCCTCAAGGTTGAGATGTAATGACTGATGAGATAGCATATGAGAAAGACACTTACCCATAAAGGAACTAATTCAGGAGGCATTGAAAAATAATATACCTCTTCTATAAGTCAACAGGAAATATGTCATCTGATTTGGAATGAAAATTGTAACTTGATTCTTTAATATACTTAGAAATTCATTGGATGTCACATATGTCAGCCTTTAAAAATGATGAGTTTTCTGCTATTTATTGTATGACATTCAGGAAAAGGTAAAACTATAGGGACAGAAAACAGATCAGTAGTTGTCTAAGGCTAGGGTTGAGGAGATGGGTCGATGAAAAAGGGGCACCAAGGAACTTTTTGGGGTGATATATCTTGATTGTGGTGGTGGTTACATGATTGTATAAGTTTATTAAAACTTACAGAAATGTACACCAAAAGGAGTGAATTTCATTATACATAAATTACATCTAAGTAAACCTGACTTTTACTGAAAAATGATGACCTTTCATATTCCCAAGATGATAGCTGAGCACTTACTAATAATGCACTGTTCTACCACTTAGATTACATGAGCTCCTTCAGTCTTAATAGTAACTCTATTTGGAAGGTACTGTTTCATTATCATCACCTCGATCTTACTATCAGGAAGGTGAGGCCTAGAAAAATTAAGTAACTTTCCCAAGACCACACAGTGAGTATAGCTGGAATTCAAACCCAGATCCATTAGGTGCCAAAGACTGTGGGTTTCACCACTGTGTTATATGGCCTCTCAAGATAAGTAACTTTAGGCTGATAAATATTTAAGAGGTAAACTGGTAACATTTATGTGTGCCTGTAACTTACACATCTGAGACCCTTTTTTGGTTCAGTCATATTTACTCTCAGATCAGAAAGTAAATGGTATCCCCCACCCCAAAACAGACACACATCCCAGTTGCCCCGATCAAGCATCCTCGGGAAGAGTGAGAGACCCATTCTTGTCAGTAGCCTTCAGTAAGCTAAGGATGAGTCAGATCTGGGTGACTATTTGTTAGGAGGATCCCCTGGAAAGTTCTAGAGGTTATGTGGCCTGCCGTAGCTCAAACTGCTGACCAGCCCCCAACCTATACTCTCAACTGGGGGCCTTGCAGTGCCAGCCCAGACACCACTGCAGCTTGGTATGACAAAGATGGAAGACTTCTCTCCTGCTTGCAGAGAGTTACCTTCTCAAGGTCATTATCTTTGTGACCTGGGTCTGAGAACTCCACCTCATGCTGCCTCCAACAGCAAATGAATAAAACACTGTTTTCATTAGCTGCTGGTGCTAACACACCCCAGAAGTCAGGGTGTCTGAGAGTCTTCCCAGCTGCTTTTCTCTACAACAGACTGCTTTCCATAATTAATTACGGAGGTTGGTGTAGGATAGTGGTAAGATATGGCAAACTTGTGGGGACTTAGGTTTGGCTTTTGCCCAGGAAAAGGGGTGCTGAGCTCCGCATCTAGTCTCTTGGTTCTTCCAACGTGATATGTATGTTTCAAGGCCCACTTACCATTAGCAATGCAGTCAGGGAGTACGCTTCAGTACAGCAGAAGCATTGGACATCTGCTGAATCCCCTGCAGTGGAAATTTAATTGGTCTTGTATCAATTTGCTCAGCCAGGGACCTTTGATCAAAAGTAGACAATGCAAACACGCTGAATGGGCAAGGATCCACCCCAGCAAATACCACTCTGTGTTTCCATCTTCTCTGCTTTACTTAGGGAGCAATTTGGTCCTCCCAGACTGCTGGTGAGTCACTGATGCCCATAGGGCCAGAGGAAGGTGTTTTGGAATTGAGACCGGACCACCTAGGCCACAGCTTAACTCATTTGTCATCAAGCTTTACTGGGCCCCTGGACCAAAGAGCAGAGCATCTCAAAAATGCACTTGTCCCCAATTCTCACTATTAAGGGGACCTACTGGTATATTTGGTCAATGTATGATGAAGACAAGGAAGGCTGAGATAGGTTGGGTAAGTTTTGGTGGGATGGTGAGAAGGAGAGAAGTATAGGAGTCAGGCACGGTTGAAGATAGGGAGCCTTTCCTGAGCTGATAGCCTCAGAAAGACGTTCTTGAAGCCAGGGTCATCTTCACACTGAAAACAGAGGATCAAAAATAAGCAAGCAGATCCTTAGGAACAAATTTTGTCTGTTCTTGATTTGGCCTGGAAAAGAACCTATCTGTGCTGCTCTAAATTGTTATCAGTTGTTTGTACCTCTGTACAAAAGAGTTTTCCCTTTTTTCTAGAGAACTTGATGGAAAGGGTCATGGTCAAGGGAATAAAGGACCTAGAGGAATAAGGACTGGAGACAAAAGAGCAAAATGTTGCATATGATTACCTTTGCAGCCCAAGCATGAAGGGTAAAGAATATTCAAAACTGAATGAGACTGGCAAAAAGCACCCAAGAGATCAGCTGAGATGCTAACAGAAGGTTAGTCTTCGTTCCCAAACAGTGGGTGGAGAGACGGAGGCATGGGCCCTCCTGGAATTTTATTTCCTCAAACATTAGAAATCACATACTTGAAACCTATAAAGCCATCCTATATGTTTAAATAGAAAAGAAGGGGCGCCTGGGAGGCTCAGTCAGTTAAGCGTCTGACTTCGGCTCAGATCATGATCTCACAGTTTGTGGGTGCAAGTCCTGTGTTGGGCTCTGTGCTGACAGCTCAGAACTTTGAGCCTGCTTCAGATTCTGTGTCTCCTTCTCTCTCTGCCTCTACCCTGCTCGTGCTATGTCTCTCTCTCTCAAAAATAAATGAACATTAAAAAAAAAAAAGAATATTGCTACATTTATTGCTGTCCCTTTTCCCATATCTTAGTAACCCGTTTTGGTATTTCAGTCCTCTTAAATAATAAAAACAAGTCCTCTTGTGCTTCAATAATCTTTTATTCCATTTAACAGATAGGTTTGGGGTGACTGCCTGTGTAAACCTCTTTGCAAAGCTTATTGCTACCAGTGGGAAAAGATGACCATTTCCTAAAATTGCTCTGTGCTCTATGCTCAGACCATTATGAAAGAAACGTTAGTGTATTTAAAACCCGAGTACCCATGGTATACAAAGCACTGTGCTGATTAAGGAGGACTGTGTTATCTAAAGTTATGCTGCCCTAGCAATTGTGAAGATTGGGAATCCTGATTTAAAGGAAATGCCATGGGATGGGAGACTGAGTTATGAAGGTTCCATTTCCATGATTACTTCTACCCTCTGCAACCTTCGTCTGCCCAACTTGCTTCTTCTCATCTTATAAAATGTACCAGATCACAGTTCATTGATTTAGGTAGTCTGTTCATTGATTTGTAAACATGGATCAAGATGCAGACCATCATTTATGCAAATTGGCCTTGCTTAAAGCTATAGAAACTAAAATAAATCAGACCTTGGGCCAGCAAGCGGTCGGCGTGACCTCAGGAGGCAGAGACTGGGTGCTCCTCATAAGCCTTCTCTGTGGTTCTTTCCATGCTGCATAGTGGTTCAGTGATGACCTGACCTGTTCGCATGGTCTCCTAAACACCAGAAGATTCTTCTCCTCACCCATCCCAAAGGTTTAGTTATCTGCAGAGTGTACCTGTATATACAATATCAGATTCCACTCTAGTTCCTAGCGCCAGGGAAAAGGCCTATAAACTTTGACAGTACAGGATGTTTCAAGTTTAGCCTTCAAAAAAGAAGCAACATGGGGGCACCTGAGTGTCGAACTTCAGCTCAGGTTATGATCTTGCAGTTTGTGAGTTCGAGCCCTGCATCGGGCTCTCTGCTGTCAACACAGAGCCTGCTTTGGATCTTCTGTCCCTCTTGCTGTCTGCTCTTCCCCCTCTCACACCCTGTCTCTCAAAAATGAATAAACATTTATAAAATGTATTAGAAAAAAGAAGCAATATAGGTTGGTTTGTAGAAAATTTGGGAAATATAGAAAAATACAAAGCACAAATAAAATTTGCCTTTGATTATGTTTTCTAGTATTTTTAGTATATATATTATAGTATATATATACTAGTATTTCTAGTATTTTTTTGTGTATCAGTCAAAGCCACCTTTAAGAATGTATTTTAGAGCGAAAACAATAGTTATAATACTGTTGTTTCTTCTTGTTCTCTGAGACTGCTCAATATTTTACGGAACCTTCTTCATCCTTTGCTCGACCATCTGACCTGATCAAGAATAAACCCATTCTTGGGGCACCTGGGTGGCTCAGTCGGTTAAGTGGCTGACTTCAGCTCAGGTCATGATCTCACGGTTTGTGGGTTTGCACCCCGTATCAGGCTTCATGCTAACAGCTCAGAGCCTGGAGCCTGCTTTGGATTCTGTGTCTCCCTCTCTCTCTGCCCCTCCCCAGCTTGCAGTCTGTCTCTCTCTCAAAGCAATAAACATTAAAAAATTAAAAAAAAAAAAAAAAAGAGTGAACCCATTCTTGTCCAGAGAAGGAGCAGATTGAAATTCTAAATATCATATGGCAGTCCCTTCCCAAATATTTGGGATTATGTAAGACACTTCTAGGCCATGCTGTTTCCCTGTTTTGTTTTGTTTTGTTTTTTGTTTTGTTTTGTTTTGTTTTTTGTTTTGTTTTGTTTTGTTTTGTTTTGTTTTGTTTTGTTTTGTTTTTGATTAGGGAAGGTGTGTGTGAAGGAGAATGCCAAGAAAAGTGCTGGAAGTATTTCTTAGCCAGTGATCCTCTGACCAACAACAGCATGTCAGACTCTCAGGCCCCAGCCCAGACCTACTGATTGAAAATCTGCATTTTCACACGATCCCCAGGCGCTTCTGAGCTGTGCACCTTACATTTGAGCACTGACCTGTGGGCCCCTTTCTGGCCTTCCTCAGGTGGTATTGATTGTCAGGATTTGTACATAACTTTCACACCTCCTTGATGTTGAAACTAGCAATAAAAATCCCACCTCCATGGGAGTAAACACCTTTTCCTTAGGCCACAATTCACATTCCTTTGGGAAAACGCTAAATGTGTTACTTTCTAAATGCCCTGAGAGTTGTGGGGTGCTCCAAATGGAAGTCGAGGGAAGAGGCCAGTTCTCTACTTTGCTTCCCCTTCAAAGTCCATTCCAGGGTCAGAGCTGTTGTGTTTGTGGTTCCTTAAATCACAGCAAATCATTCATCCAGTGGGGGACAAGAAAGAGAGTCACAACAGAGTTCTTTAAATTCTGTTGGGGAAAAATCCACAATGATTTTTTTTTCCTCCTCTTCTCTCCCCTTTCTCCACAACCACACCTGTCTTATTTTATGACTCAAATGATTCATTTAACCTTTGCTCCTCCACCAGGGGGCCCCAGGAGGCACAGACTGGGTGCTCGGTCCCGAGGACCCTAATCAGGCGAGCTGGGATCAAGGACTCTGAGTACAGGATCAAGGACTCTGAGTACAGTGCTGCCGATAGAGGGAAAAAAAGAAATGACAGAAGCCAAAACAGTTGTGTCTGTCTGGCCGGCCAGCCACAACCATGTGTGGGCATCGAGATGGATGTGGGACCAGCCTGAGCAGAGCCCTCCAAAGAACTGCCTTGATTAGGCCTTCGCTTGAAATCCCAAAGCAGTCAGGTGTTCCTACATGGCCATCTGAAGCCATCCGTGAAGAGCAGTACTCCCCCTTCTAGGACGAGATGCAGCTGTGTGAAGTCATTCCCCTCTCTCTTCACAGATTTGAGAGGTGTCACAAAGTCTTTGTGCCCGGGCACCACGGCTCCCTCTGGGTTCTGGCACTGGGATCTCCTCTGTTTCTTTGGCAGCGTCTGACAATCCCTCCAGCCTGGCTAATCGAGCACTTATCTGGTGCCTCTCCGCTCCCAGGCCTGGCTCCCCAAGCTCCTGGGGACCCATCTGCAAACTTTTCCATGGGAGCATCTGGGACACTTACTGAGGTATAGTGCCTGAAGCAGCAGGGAGAAGGGGGAAGGATGGTTAAGAATGGCTCTTTATTCTGCTTTTTTAAAGTTTATTTTTATTTATTTTGAGAAAGATACAGAGAGCTAGCAGAGGAAGGGCAGAGAGAGAAGGAGACAGAATCTCAAGCAGTCTCCAAGTGGTCAGTGCAGAGCCTGATGCGGGGCTTGAACTCTCGAACCATGAGGTCATGACCTGAGCTGAAATCAAGAGTTGGATGCTAAACCAACTGAGCCACCCTGGTGCCCCTAGATTGGCTTCTTCTTGACCCTTCGGGAACTTACAAACATCACCCCATCCATCCTGGCAGCCCTTAGTTGTGTATAAAGTAACTATGCTGGTTTTCTTTCCAGAGGTTATGGAGTGTAAGTGGTTGAAAACTCAGGCCCTGGCATTGCAGAGACTGGCATCCAAATCCCGGCTCTTCATCACCAGCTGGGTGATCCAACTTGGCCTCCTGAAATTTCAGGCCTTAATTCACACCTTTCTAAAACAGGGACAATATCTGCCTCATAGGTTATTATGAGGAATAAACGAGATGCTATATGTAAAGCACTTAGGACCGTGCCTGGTGCTTAGTAAGTGCCCAGTAAAAGGTAGCTGTGATTGTTGTTACTTTTACCTAAAAATGGATGACAGCAAGTCATGCTGGATAACCTAACAAGTCAGTGCTAAATCCTAGAGGCCCAAGTTTCAGTTCTGGATCTGCTTTGAATTAGCCTTGGGTGCCCCAGTTTCTTCCTCTGTAAGATGTAGGCGATGCTACCTGGCTTTTTGTTCTGGCAGGTAACATTTATCAGTGCTATCTGTGCACCTGGCATACTTGAAGGGCTTATGTTAATTCACTTGATTCTTGCCACATCCCTATTTGACAGATGAGAAAACTGAGGCACAGAGGCAATGTGCCCAGGGTCAAGCAGCTAATAGCAGATGGAGCTGAGGTTCCAACCCAAGCAGTCTGGCCCCAGAGCCTGCATTTCTGCCTTTCTAACTGTGAAAAATCAAATATTTAATCATGAAAGGGCTTTGGGAGTGGGAGGCACTATATAAACTGGAGATTATCACAATTTATCCAAGTCTCTTGGTGTTTGGTCTTCAGTTGGGATCCTTAACCTCTCCTGGTGGGATGTGGAGTCAGGGGGCTCCCTTAGGGTTTCCTGAAGCCTTTTAATCACTGGCTTGTATGAGTTGAATAATGCCCCCCCCCAAAAAAAAACAGATGTTGAAGTCCTAGCCCCCAATACCTCAGAAAGCGACTTTATTTGGAAATAGGTCATCTTTACAGAGGTCATCAGGTTAAAATGAGGTCATTTAGGTGGGCCCTAACCCAATACGACTGGTGTCACACACGCAGACACAGACAAGCACAGAGGGAAGATCCCGTGAGGGAAGTCACAGGAGAACGCCACCTGAACACAGTGGCTCCACACTACATTTGTGAGGTTTGTCTGTGTTTTGCATTCTCCAAGCCAAAGAACGCCTGAGGCTGTCAGAAGCGAGGAGAGAGACATGGAAAAGATCCTTCCGAGGCAGCATGGCGCTGCTAACACCTTGAATGCGGAGAGGGGCTGAATACCGCTAGGGGTGCAGATGTGTGTGTGCACATTTTGACAGTGTAAGAATCGGCCTGTGAACCTGAAGACTGTTCCTTCATAAGAAGATCACATGAGAGGCAAAGTGAACATTAAGTCATATTCCAGCTCCATTGGAAC